ACTGCTCTGTTGATACGCGTATGAAGCTAGTCATACGCGTATGGAGTGAGGCAATACGCGTATGGATGGCCTATTAGAGAGGGCAGTATGCGTATGAAGCTAGTCATACACGTATGGAGTGATTTTGAGAGGAATTGAGTCTCTGGTCATACGCGTATGGTAGGATGATATGCGTATGGCAGCAGGCAATACACGTATGGAATAGGGTGATACGCGTATGAGTAGGTCTGGGGTGATTTTTTGCCGTTTTTGAGATTTCTGTCCCGATTTCACTTGGAACGTGATTCTGTTTGATCAGTAGGGATAATATGACTAAAATGAACCTAATGAATATTAGTGATGAATTTAATTAGATAAAATGTGGAATTATGTGGTGTGCCCGCAAGGGTGTGTTTGATGATGGTGAGCCGGGATCATCGACTGTGGATGATCTTGTGCGATTATGGTAATTCCCGAGAGGATTACGGTGAGCGGATGGCTCGTGTGGATCATGGTTGGTCGTGAATTATGCTTGATTTTATTGTTGTATAATTGTGTTGTCATGCATTTTCATGTCATGTGTCTTGTGGAGGTGGCTAGGTGGGAATCCATGATAGGTGCCTAGTTCGTCCGGACTTCATTGTGGAAGTTGTTGTGGAGATAAGTTGTGGTTCAGAGGAACGTATATACGACTTATCCGGATTCCGACGGGAATCGGGTTCTAGTCTGAACCGTATGAGATTGTGTTGGTACCACATGCATTGTGTCGAGTCAGTGTGTCACATTGCATTATTATAATTGGATGTGGGCTATTAATGCCGAGTGATTAAGGTGGCACGTGTATGTGTGTTATTGGTGTATAACTGTGTGTGTGGTGTGTAACTACTCCTTAACATGTGTATTTCACCGTTTATTTATTGAATGTAGTTCTCACCCCTTTTTGTTGTTGTGTTTGTGCTCTCTTGGGAGTACAGATGACCAGGTACCTGAGTAGCGCTTGGAGTGTGTTGCTATTTGGTCGAATCTTAGGAGTCCCTCTGATACGTAACATGGGATGACGGGATTACGCTGTTATTTGATTATTTTATTTATTTATTATTATGTATCTGTAATGGTTAAATTGAGGATGTTTGATCACCTCGTGATAGAAATGATATTTTAAATCATTGAATTTATTCCGCTGCTTATTTGAAAGTTAAATGACATTGATTTATTTAAATTGAATGAAGTGACTTAGTGTGATATCCCACTGTTTTTGGAGGACTCTGATGTATTGAATGAATGATTTCCGTATATTTCTTATATTACACGTACGGGGTAAAGTGGGGTGTTACAGATTACCAATGTGACAAAATGCATTTTTCTTGCATTTTCAAGCTTGTTTGGGTTCCTTGTCATCCTTAAATCTCATGGATTGATATGATGCATATATGTGGATTGTTTTCAACCTCTTTCATCATTCTTGATAGTATTCTCATGATTCTTTGACACATGACTTTTGGTTTTCATTGATGAACATCTATGATTGTTGTGTTACATTCTTGGAGTGATGATCATGTTGTGTGATAGTTTGCACAGTGGTCATTGTTGGTTATTGATGTTTATCTTGTTGGATATGTGTTACATGTTCACGTTTGTTTCTAATTCTGCAAGCGCATGATTGCTCGAGATGATTAAGGTGTTGGATATGTATGATGTTCTCGTCGAATGTTTAATTGTGAATCGAACTCGTTTTGTGCTTAATTATTAATGCATGTTCACAATTGATCCTTACCATGTCATATGAATTCGTTGTAATGTTGATGCTACATGTTGCCTGACTTTTCACACCTGCTATTCTGGATTTTAACATGCTGCTAATTGTGCACCTATTCTTCCTGCTGCTTTTTACACCTGTTATGGGTTGAAACATGAGTTGTTAAATGTTGTTGTGCTTACTTGCTGGGTTTTTATTGTTGTTCTAAAGCTGAAGCACTGTCGTAGCTGCTGTTTTTGGATTGTTTCCCATGTTTTGTTTGTTCTCGCATGCTCCCTTAATGCCTCATAGTACAACTTAATATTTGATTAAGCTTGGAGTGGGATAGACGTCAATAGTTAATCCATGCATGGTAACATTAGGTTAGTCCCTTTTTAACCTCAACCATAGGTCCACTTTTGCATATTAACATTAGGATAGAATTTCCTTTCGCATCCCGATCTTAGAACCATTTTGCATGATAGTATTAGGCTAGTCGCTTTTCAACCTCAATCATAGGTCCACTTTTGCATGCTAACATTAAGATAGAATCTCCTTCCGCATTTTGACCTTAGGGCTATTTTGCATGACAACGTTAGGACCAAGTTTACCCTTAGACCTTCAGTGCGTCTCTTTCTCCTCCCTCTCAAAACAACATCAAAACACTTAATAATGATAATATGCATTGTGCGCCACGAGCCTTAAACACATGGGAAAAGATGAGAGAATGAATTTCTAACCTCATCTTAGGAAATTTTGTGCGCGAGACGCTTGGATCGTTAGCGTGAAGTATTCGATCCTATGTCATAGACTTTAGTGCGATGCATATTCCAAATAAAGTCAATTCACTTCTCTAAAACTCACAAACAAATTAAAATCATTTTCATACTTCGGGATCGTTTGTCAAATCATTATAAAAAAGAGTACATTATTTTTCCGCTCTACCGCAAACAGGCATCGACCCTAACTACTGGAATGAGAACTTAACATCGCTCGTAAAAAACACATATCGACTCGTGAGTTGAACTACGACTGCTCTGATTTCTTATACCAGATGAGGATACGTAGGCACAAGACGGCGAAGTCTTAGCGAGCAACCTTCCCCCTTCACTCGTAGTTTTCCAAACTACGTTGACTCTGACTTTTCCATTGCACGGGGGAATACGTAGGCCTAGGACGACGAAGTCCTATCGAGTCTCCTCTTTTCTCTCCTTTCGTTTTTTCTGTTTTGTTCCCGTTTCCATTTAGCAGTAGGCTTTAGATAACACATCATTTGATTAGATAACAATCGCGGATCCCATTGAGTAGAACGGATGCGGGGGGGGGGGGGGGGGGGTGCTAATACCTTTTTCTCGATAATCGACTCCCAAACCCAAGATTTGGTTGCAAGACCATGTCTTCCCCCTTCTTTGAGGTTTTCTTTGATCATTTCCTTTCCCCCGTTGGGATAAATAACGTTAGGTAGCGACTCTTCTATTTTTTCCGCCAGGTGTTTTTCGCAGTTGTAACAGTTGGCGACTCTGCTGGGGATTCTGGTTCCCTATGTGAGTCAACCCTTGCGCTTGTTTTTGTTTGTTCATTGGGTGTTTACTTTTTATGCTTTTATGTACATTGTTGTTGTATATTATTGCATTTTCATAATACTAATGCATTTGATTACTGTTATCATATTGTTCTGCTGTTGTCGGGCTGTTGGGTGGGATTGTTTCATGAGAGATAAGGCAGTACCCAGGCTTGAGTATACACATAGGATTAGAGTGGGCTTGTGCTGGCATGCGTAGCGCTTGATACATACTGTTGACATGAGATCTGCATTCAAACGAGGTTTTCTTGGAATATGCTTTGACATGTATACCTGTATATGAATGACTGGGTTTTGATTTAAGGTTTTAGGGATGAAGGTATGGATAACGAAGATATGCGTTTATGGGTAGAGATTGGTTGAATGGTTGAGTTTCTAGGTTGTGAATCTTTGAATGATGAGGGGTAGGTTCAAGTAACTATTGAATGTGTTTGAAAGATAAAGAAATTATGGGTTTTAGTAGTATGAGTGTGGAGAGAGACAAAAGAATTTGGAGAAATAAGAGAGAGAATGAAAAAAGAATGGTGAGGAGTAACACGAGTGTTTTGGTGATTCTTCATGTAAGGGAATAAGACAATTGAGGGACAACCAATGAGATAGGAACACGTAGTTGGTATGGATGAAGAGAAGATAGTATTAGTAATAAGAATCTAGAACAAATCTTTAAAATGGGGACCATAGATGATGCGCGTTTTTAATCGTTCTTGCATGTAGAGAGAGAAAACACTTGAAAAAAATGATGAAAAAAAGACTCAGAAAAGACTGCGTGTTACAAAAGATATAGAAAGAGAAATGAAAAGGAATATCATGTTAGATATCGACAAAATTATTTTCATTGAATCAAATAATTATTAATTATTAATCTAACACTTTCCATGCACCCTTTCTCTTTGATCCCTTCACCTTTTACACCCCTTTTTGGCTCTATCTTATGTTTCCATTTCAAACACACCCCATCTTTTCTCCTTCCAACACATCTCTCTCATTTAATAATAATATTATTATTTCATACCCTCTAAAAAAAATTATTTCTTGTTTCTATTCATCTCATCACCACCACCACTCTCTTCTTCCTCTTCCCAACCGCTGTTATATTCAATTTCAATCACTCATTCAAATTTCTCCACAGGTAAAATTATCAACATGCATGCAGACTCTGTTTTGTCTCTCATCAAATCTTCTTTCTTTCTTTTTTTTATTTCTTTTTCTATCGTTATTATTTATTCTCATATAAGGTGCATTATTTTTCATTTCTTTTATTACTTTTTTCATAATTCTAGTTTCTTATAAGGACATAATGCTATGTTCTCTGATCGATGATGTTTGTTACCGAGATTCATTCACACGTGTGTCATTGTTTTTGCTTTGTTCTTATTTAGTTTCAAACTATAGCTGCATGCAACATTTTTTCTTAAATTTTTATCTTTTTTTTAATGTGGTTGCAATGCTATAAAGTCAAAAACATTGAATGTATCGCCATATATTAGAATAAAAATTCAACCTTTTTCACTTTTCAATTCCATATACTTTTCTGGGTCAAGCTGATTCTAACTTTTTTTTTTATCACTCTTTCAGATTCTGAGAGGCTTCAAAATTGGATGTTGATGCTGTTGTTGATGTTGTTGATTCATTGAAATTGATGCTATTGTGTGTGTGAGTTCTTAAATTATAACTTGATCCTATGCATGATGAAGTGAATCTTGCATGGAGGCATTGTTGAAGTTATTTGGTGGAACTCTGAATTCAATAACTAGTAAATGCATGGTTTTGCTTGTTACTCTTTTGATTCTTAGAGTGTTTATTTTTCCTGGTTTTGATGGAATTGAATGGAGCAATCTTGTATATTACTCTCCGTCGACGAGTTCTTCCGAATTTGGGATTCGGGAGTTTAGGTTTTTGGTTGTTCCTCAGCTTGTTTGGGGATTAAACAACCAGAAAATCGCATTCGCCAGGGCTTGTCTTACTGCTAGAATGTTGAATAGAACCCTTTTGATGCCTAGCTTTAGTGCATCTCTTTTTTACAAGGAAGTCGATCTGTTGCAGCCGATTTCCTTCGATAAAATATTCCAATTCGAAAAGTTTAATGCAGTTTGCAGTGGTTTTGTTCGGTTAGGTCGGTATTCGGATGTCTTGAATAGAACTCGAGTGCTTGAAATGACGAAAGGGAGTGGAAGGAAGTGGACATTGGAGAGAGATTTGTCACAATTGAAAGAGTATAGTAAAGGCTCTTATGATGACTATGAGGTAATTGAAATTTTAGGGAAAAACCCTTTCTTATGGCATGATCATTGGCCTTTGAAGGACTATGCTAAGGTTTTCGAGTGCTTGGTTTTGATCGATGAGTTTCGTAACGAAGCAGACAGGGTTGTTTCTAGGATTAGGGAAGTCGGAAACAATGAATCAATGGAATCGCAACAAGGTATGAACTCTGGTTGTTATTAAACAACGGTCGTGATTTTTTATCTGGTTTTGCAGTTCTCAACATTATATTCTTGTGTTTCAGATAGGTCTTCATTTCACCGTCTACCATATGTTGCGGTTCACATGAGGATCGAAATTGATTGGATGATTCATTGCAAAAAGTTAGAGCAGAGAATGAACACAAATCAAATATGCAGTAGCAAAAAAGAGATAGTGGAAAGAGTTAGAAGCATCGTAATCGGTTTGAAAAAAACTCCAATTGTTGTTTATCTCGCGGTAGCCGATAAACTCCTTAACGATTCTTCCATAATGGAAGACTGGGGAGAAGGCATTCTTCCTTACGAGAAGAAGAAACTCGGCGTTGAGGGAATCTATAACAAGTATCCATATCTGATTCAATCTGCGATCGACTATGAAGTTTGTTTACAAGCTGATATCTTTGTTGGAAACAGTTTCTCTACATTTTCGAGTCTTATAGTTCTTGAAAGAACACATAAAATGATCAAAACGAGTGACGAAAGCGTGTGCAGAACCGATGTAAGATGGCCTTCTTATGCATATAATATACAAGGAGAATCAAATGGTGCAATGAGATGGATTACAAATATGTCTGAATCAAGTCTTCAAACAATAAGCTATGGAACTGATAGAATCTATGATTGCAAGGGTCATATTTAATCTTGTGCATGTGATAAAAATTTTTGAGTAGTTTAGTTTTACAATCTTGTTCTCTTATCTATACATTTTCACTTTTGGAGTTTGATCAGCACAAAGAGTGTAACATATTTCCAATCAATGAACCTCAACGCTGAGAGTCTCATTGTTGAATTGGTATTTAATCTTACTGATTGAAATTGAACTCCCCAACATAGACAGGGGAGGGGGGCATGTGGACCTATGGCGATGGTGGGAAATAATCATAGTGTTAGAGTAGAGGGTAGGAAAATTATGGTGAACTCTAGTCTCTAAGAGGAGACTTAGATACCACCTAAAACGGCTCGAGACAATGCCTAACTTTTCGGTTCAACATGTCTTCTCTAATGACAATTCAAGAAGTCCTTTATTCAAAATAAGTTTTTTTTATGGCATTAGAAATGTGGTTATGGGCTTGTGCAAGTGGTGGTTGCAAATATGCTTCTAGGCTAGGGTGGCTCATTGAACCCTACTATTATTCTCAAATATGTTGTACCCCAAAATTTGACCAACCTCTTTGGCTTGTGTTTCATTTCATTGCATCAGCCTATTGCATAAAACATTACATTGCATAGCATTTTTTTTTTTTTTTGCATTTACAGGGGATCAAGAAATGTGTGTCAAAAAAATATATATAGACCTCATTAAGAGTGTGGGTTCAAATCATCAGATGCAAGTATGTGGAATCCTAGTGAGGGAACAGATATCCCCATTAGCATGGCAGAGTGGTCAAGATGTGATCGTTTGACTTTGAGGATTATCTCAAGGAGATTTTTTAGTCATATTCAGGTGGATCAAGCATATGTACAAGTCATGGCTGGAAGAACTGTTGTTATGATGGTTATTAGTGATTCTGAGTTGGGATCGTTAATCTTCAACGTATAACTAATTTGTAATTCGAGCATCTGTTTAATTCAATTCATGGTGGAATTAAGGCTTAAGATGAGTTATGTCAAGTTATAATGGGAGGTCGTGTTTAAGATGTCTCGTTCTTACTAGATTAATTTGTTTTAAGTCATTGAGAATTCATTTACAAGCTACGAATAGTGTCTTCCCAAATTTACTTTTGAGTTACTTCAAAGTAATTCAAATTGGCTCAAGAAGGGTCAAAGAGGTTGCCTCTCATGCTGAAACCAAGTGAATTCTTTGAGTTTCAATATCACAACATTTTGAGATTGAGAATGACCCAATAATAAAAGTCACAATATTAGAGCATGAATTGTAGAGTGATTATTAAATTGAAATTCAAGAAGTGGAAATACAAGGATTCAGTCATAATTAATTTTTATATTACAAGGATTCACGGTTCAGCAGTTCTCATAGTGGTGCAAATACCCACATGGATTTGTCACAAAATTCAAAAACAACCTCACAAATCCTGCATTTTACCGTTACAGCCGCGAAATCAACAGTATCATTCTCTTGCATTTCTTCCATTAACAACCACCTGCAAGTGTTATGAAAGAATCATATTGATTGTAGTGTTTGGAAACATGACTGCTAACCACCCTGATTATGCTTCTCTCGCTGCTAGGATTGCTGTTTCGAATCTGCATAAGAACACTAAGAAGTCGTTTTCGGAAAACTGTGAAGATTATGTATAATCATTTCAACACTAGATCTGGGAAGAAAGCTCCTTTGATTGCTGATGATGTCTATGAAATAATTATGGAGAATGCGGCTCGATTGGACAGTGAGATAATTTATGACAGGGATTTTGACTATGATTACTTTGGGTTCAAAACCCTTGAGAGGTCTATTCTGTTGAAAGTTGATGGGGCTGTTGTTGAAAGGCCTCAACATATGATAATGAGGGTTTCTGTTGGGATTCACAAGCATGATATTGAATCTGCTGTTAAGACTTGTCATTTGATCGATCTCATGCTGTCACAGCAAACGCTGTGCTTCGTTTCTCATCCTGATCGATCTGTTTCCACATTTGGCTTCGATTTCGGAGTGTGATCGTTTGTGAGGTTTTAGTTGACTTTCATGCTGAGTGAAGAAATTTGCGAGTTATTTGTTTTAGAAGTGAGAAATGCAGCGTGCTCCAGTTACAGTTGAGGAACAGTTGTTGCATAAAGCGATTAACGAAGAGTGTCCATGGGAGAATCTACCGAAGCGGCTCCAAGCTACTCTTTCTACCAAAGACGAATGGCACCGAAGGATAATCGAATGCTGTATAAAGAAGAGGCTTCAATGGAATGGCTGCTTTGCCCGTAAAGTTTGTAAAGAAAGTGAATATTATGAAGATATGATGCGGTACTTGCGGAGGAATCTTGCTCTGTTTCCTTATCATCTGGCGGAGTATGTTTGCCATGTAATGAGGGTGTCTCCTTTCAGATATTATTGTGATATGATTTTTGAAGTAATGAGAAACGAGTAACCTTATGACAGCATCCCAAATTTTAGTGCAGCAGATGCTTTAAGACTTGCAGGAATTGGGAGAAATGAATTTATTGATATAATGAACAAGTGCAGATCTAAAAAATCACGTGGAAACTGAACAAATCAATTGCAAAAGAACTCTTGCCTACACAACCTGTAGATTTTCCTATTGAATCTTGGTGGGGAGTTTGTCTTGTGAACTTTACTTTGGAAGAATTTGAGAAACTCTCTGAAGAGGAAGTTGCCACTATAGACAAAATATTGTATCCCGAAGATCGGTTCAAAGTTTCAAGGCTTGAAGGTTTTGCATCCAACAGGGAGCAGTCTTATGAAGATCCTATTGAAGAGTTATTGTATGCAGTTTTTGTTGTTTCAAATGGAAATGCGTCTGTTGCGGAATTGGCAACAACCCTACAGGCTGACCTGTCACAACTGCAGGCTGCTGCATCATTTGTATGTCGATTAGGATGGGCAACAAAAGTCATTGATCCATCATCTATTCTTCAAGATACAAGTATACCTGGGTCTCCTAGAAGTGCAGTTAGTGATGAAGATGTTTATCTTGCTAGTCATGGTTTTGACAATATCCATATTGATAATGATATTCAAGCGGATGCTTCGGGTTCAAGCAACCATGGTGCTCGTTCGGCCTATATGCGTGTTGCCTTCGTAGTGGATGCCAATATAACATCCTATCTTATGATGGGTTCTGTTTCACCAGGTCTGAAATCTCATGCTGTTACACTCTATGAAGCGGGCAAATTAGGTCATGCCAGCATTCCTGATCTTTGCAAGGATCTTAGCACTCTGGAAAGTGCAAAAAGAGGAAGGATGTAATGGGACTTCGGCTTCTAATGAATTCTGTTCAAAGCAGTATTGAAGAGTCATGGAAAAGAATCCCATCGGTTATTGCTCTGTTTGCTGCAGAGGCATCTTGTGTATTGTTAGATTCCTCGCATGATCATTATGCAGCTATAAATACGTTCTTGATACAGTCTTCTAAGTTGAATTTGAAGGTTATACCTTTGTTTGATAACTTTATATGGAGTTCATCCGTCAATTTCAAATCAGAGAGATCTTGGATACTTCGGCTAGTATATGCAGGACCGAACTCAGATGATGATGCCGTGATATATATCAAGAACTCTATTCTTGAAACTCTAATGAGCTTCTATGTCTCTCCTCTCTCAGATGCTGTGTCAAAGGACCTAATCATTGAAGTGATAAAGAAATCCGTTAAAGTGCGAAAGATTGCCCGTCATCTAGTGAAACGTTGTTCTCTATTTTCATGGTTATCATCTCTCATCTCAGTTACTAGAAGGGTTAGGCTTAATGGAGATGAAAATAAATTTTTCATGAAACATGTATTGGTAGTACTGAAGGTTGTCAATGATGTTATTTTGTCCGGAAGCATGTCCAAGTGGTTGCAAAATCATGGCCTTGAGCAGCTCACAGAGCTTTCATCTAATCTATTCAGTTTTGTACTCCATGATGTAACAATGACAGATGAATCTGTGGGATTAGTTAGTCTTTTTCTACAAATGATAGTGTCGGTGTTGAAATTCTCTCAGAAAAGGAAAATAGGCCAGCCACATTTCACCTTATCAATAGAGGATATACCAGGCTGGCAGTGTCTCTAATCAAGCTCCAAAAGGCATTAACCCGTATTTTGCTCTTGAAGCCATACTTATGAGCCCACCTCCTATTTCCATTTTGTTAATAGATCGGGAAAGGCTTCAGAATTTCATTATCTGGGCAATTACAACGGCATTAGCGTCAGATTCTTCACAAAGGTTGAGGTCTAACGAGTCTCGCATTTTTGTCAAAAAAAAAAGAACTAGGAGAAGAGTCTCATGATGACTCGTTAGTGTCAGAATTTTTTCGTTGGTTAACAGCTTCAGTAATCAATGGGAAGCTTCATCAGAAATCCAATGATATATATTCAGGGTTTGCTGAAACACATAAACTAGAATCCCTGCATTCTTTACTGGTGCATGTTGAAAATACCTCAGGACAAAGACAGGATATTAATATTGGTTGTGAGGAATTGCTTGCTTCTACAATTTTCTATCTCCAACTGCTTCCTGTGGGAAGAACCATTTTATTACAAGCCTACAACAAGTCCAAATTTCAGACCTGCTTTCTGTGTACATCCTACACAAACTTACTAACAAAAACCAGCCTGCTGCACCCATCCCACACCAGACCAAATCCTGCGCCATTCTGCGACCACAGACAATGCCAGCTACAACCATTATCCTGCCACAAGCTCACTCCACACCAGACAACTCTGCTACAACTACCAAAACCGTACCATACACAACTACAACATCTCAGCCAGCCCACACACCACACAAAAGAAAACCAACAAAGCAACTTGCCCCAACCTTACACCAAAGTGGAATAGACAAGCTCTGCACAAGTTGTACAAAAAAAACCTGCTACACACAATACCCTGCAATAAACCCCCCATAACAGCATCACACCCTGGGGGTTCACAAAAAAGGAGGGGAAACTCTTTAAAAAGCTCTCATTCCTCATGATCTAGAGGGGGGCGGGAGCCTTGATTCTCCTCATAAAAAAAAACAAAACTCCAATCC